AAATGATAACTTTCCTGATTATGAAGTTGCATGTGATTCAACTAACATAATCAGTGACACAAATAAAAGATATTTGAAAAAAAACGATGTGAAACATTAGTGATCGTGAATATTCAATTGAGCAAAACTCTAGAGAGAACATAGTAGGGATCGACGTTTTCTAATTTGATTTAATTATCTTTTGTTTGCATGAAATTTTTTTATTTAGAAAATCAGTGTAATAAATAAAAAAATTTGGAGCAACAATTATTTATTGCAATAAAAGAAGTTGAGTTTTGATTTGGACGAGATTTGAGTGGTGAAATCGTTTCCACAATAGACAAATGATGAAGTATTTAACTAAAAAGAGTTTAAATAAGTTAGTAATTAATTGAGTAAAAAATATGTCTCTGGGGGATCCACTCATTCACATAGAAAAGTTAAGGTGAGACATGAGGATTTAACGCAGTAGAAATATAATATAATTATTTTTAGATTACACGAGTAATTATGACCTCCAAAATTAGATGAAGAGGACAACTATATTGTGGACATACAGATTTAACGTTGTAGGGATAAATATGGCTTTTTTAGAGCATAAGGGAAAATATGATCCTAAAATTAAAAGAAAGGGCAAATATATTAAATATGTGAAGATTTAACGCCATAGAGGTAAATATGACCCTTTTTTAGAGTACAAGTGGCAAATATGATTCTAAAGTTGGGTGAAACGACAAATATATTTAAAAAGTGTAACGAAGAATAAATATAACTTATTATGAAGGTACAAAGACAAATATAACCCTTTCACGAATTTTTTTTAGTTCAATACAAATTTGTCATTATTTTCTTTTTCCTTTTTTAATTTCTCCTAGTTTGTTAATCTCTTTGTGATATAAATTCACGACCTTAAAATTAAAGTCACTATCAATCTTAACTAGAAACGAAGTTTAAATTAATTAGAGTGAGATTATGATAACATTTTTTTCTTAATCTTTGTATTGGTAAATTTAATTTAAAATGATCAAAGCTTTGACTCTTATCTTGTCTAGTAATTAATATTGTTAGGTGTGGCAGCAAAACTAACTCAAACACATGTATTTCATTTAATTCGTTCATACCTAAATGAGTTTGGATTGAATTGATTATGATAATTGATTGATTTGCTTATGTCTAAATTGATTTATCACAAATTAGCAGCCCAAAAATATTCATGAATCCTTAACCAATGAAAAGAGGGAAAATTGTATATAATAGCAAACTATTAATTCAAATTAAATGCTATAAATATACTTTGATTTAATTGTACCATATAGCAAACTATTGCTATTTTCGACACTCTCCCTGGTGGAATCTCGCTCGCCACTCTCGTTTGGTGGCAGTCTCGCTCGCCTCTCTTGCTTTCATACAAACACAAATGTATAAAATGTGTTTGTGTTTGTATAAAGCAAGAGGAAATTGTATATATACAAATATTTTTGTTCCCCTCTCCCAGATCTCGCTCACCACTCTCCCGAATCTCGCTCGCCACCCTCACCTCTCTCGCTTATACAAACAGAAACGAAATGTATAAATTGCGCTTCTGTTTGTATAAAGCGAGAGAAAATTGTATATGCACATGCAAATACATATATCTTCATCCTATGCACTTATAATTATACAATACAAATATTTCTCTGCCCAGTTTTCTTTTGCCTTTCTCTCTTTCTCATTTTATACATACACAGATTATACAATTGATCTTTTGTATACAACTGCTTTCTTTTTTCTTTTGTCTTTCTCTCTTTCTCGTTTTATACATACACAGATTATACAATTGATCTTTTGTATACAACTGCCTTCCTTGTATATGTATAGCGAATTATACAACTGTTTTTTTTATATGTATAGCGAATTATACATATATATGTTTGTTATGGAGCGCAATTATGCAAACTTTGTTATAGCATACAAATATGAATTTTGTGTTTGCTATATGTGAAAGTTGCTCAAATAAATATTCAAATTTAGGCGTTAAATTCCACTTTATTTATTATTTTTTTAAAAAATCATTATTATCAATTGCTACCTTTATTGATAAATTATTATTCGTTGAATATAATATTACTCTCTCTACTTTCATATTAATTGAGTTTTTGAAGGTTCTTTTATTGGTCAAAGTTTAAGATAAATATTTGATTTTTTTTTATATTTGTCCTTTCATTTATTAAAATTTTATATTTTCTAGATAAACTGCACTACTTATAAAAAATTCTATTTATAATTTCACAAAGGGCAATAGTGTAAATTATATCTTTAAGTATTTTTCTTATTCAGTTAATATGAAATAGAAGGAGTATTAAATAGTAGTGGCATACTTTCTTCCACTTTGCGCAATTATGAGAAAACTTAAAATATGATTATATTCTTATTTTATAACTCTTGTGATTTTTTCTTAATGTTAATTACGTTGTTTATGATTCTATCACCTTTCATATTTTTCTGACATCACACATAAAGTTGTTTAATAAATCAAATTCGTGAGAAATATACAGAATTCAATATGAAATACTCAACTGAATAAATGAAATGTGAAAACTAAAAAGGGGATTTTTTTTAGAAAAAGGGAAAAAGATTATTCGGGTTTTTGATTTACTTGTTCAATTAGTAGAGAGGGTGTCAATGATTATAGTAAAAACAAAAATTATGGGTATAAATCAAATTCTTAAGAAATTTTAGAAAAAAGTTCACAACGCCTTATCACTAAACTAAACTTTTAACTACTGTCAAGCGATATCAATGCTTATATATATTTATTAAATTAAAATTTGACCATTGAGCATAACCCCTTGCAAGAAGAGAAAGCATTATTAAGTATTCTTCATATATCATTTAAATTGATTGATTAAAAATCTTATAGATTTAGTAAGGATTGAACAAATCGAGTCACGATCAACTTTTCAATTTGTTTGATCCCAAATAATTTTGTGTGAAATGATTTATTCATCTATTAACTTCATTTATTTTAATCAGTTTAAATTTAATCTAATCCCATTTGCCATATCTACGAATGTGATTAGGCAATAGGTTCATAATTAAACATCGTTGTAAAGTGCTAACATATTCGTTAAAGTTCTCTTCTCCCATGTGATAGAGTTACGGATGTTTATATTTGGAGCCAAGTACTAATTAGTATCATTAATATTAAAAAAAATTATATATAAATAAATATATTAAGTAACACCACTTTCAGTATTAATTTATATATATTAAGAATAATTTATGATTTATATATTTTGGTACCACTACTTATTTTGTCGTTCAAAGGAGATCCTCCTTTAATTTAATAAGGATTTAATTTATTTTTATACATAAATAAATATATTATGTAAACACCACTTCAGTATTAATTTATATATATTAAGAATAATATATATTTTATAAGGATTCAAAGGAGAAGGATTTACATTAATTAATCACAGTGATATTAATATATTGTATATATTTATTTTATTTAATTATATAAATATTCTTACTTTATTAGTGCATCGACCTTAAACACTTTATAATACGTGATTCTTTTAACTATCATGTTTTTCCCCTTTTAAATGGTTTATTGATTTGTTTATGAATGGAGAAAAGAGAATCCACAGATGCAGAATTTTAAAATTTAATAATAAAAAGTTGTAACTCGAAAGAAATACACTCCTCTGTGGAAATTTATTTATCCTATTTTTAATTATACACGAAATTCAAGAAAAATAATTACTCTCTCTATTTCAATTTACGTTACACATTTCAAATTTTGAAATTCAAATAAATCTATCTTAGATCATAAATTTTGCATATAACTTTTAAATATTTTAGATTGTCAATTATTGCTACTTATTTAAGTAGTTTACAAATATATAAATTTCATTTAAAAAAATTTGAAGATTTCATGAGTAAATTGTCTGTCAAACTTAAACGGTTTAACTCTCGAAAAATGAAATGTGTCACATAAATTAAAATAGAAGGAGTACTAATTTTTTTCATTGATTTTTATTTGTCCAGTATCAAGATTACACATCTATTAAGAAATAATGATTGATAAGTGTATTTTACCATAGTTTTCTTATAATTGATCATTAATACTCTCTCGGTCCATTTTTAATTGTCATGATTTCTTTTTTAAAGTCAAACTTTAAGAACTTTGATTAACATTTTACAATGTATTTTTTCATCATATAGATAAGCAAAAAATTGCAATTTATTCTACTTTTCGTATAGTTTTTGAATATCTAAAAATTTTGTTTAATATATCGAATAAATGTAATCTAATTTATTTTGAAAATTAGTCAAATTAATTTTCGAAAAGCGTAATAGACAAAAAAAAGTGGACGGGGGAGTATTATATTTTGAAAAATAATTTGGAGTATATAACTCATGACAAGTGTAATATATATATATATATATATATATATATATATATATATATCGAATTAATGTAATCTAATAACTTTGAAAACTAGTAAAATTAATTTTCGAAAAGCACAACATGACAAATACAAGTGGACTGGGGGAGTATTATATTTTGAAAAATAATATTGAAGTAATGCAATCTATTTAACTTTGAAAATTAGTTAAATTGACTTTCAAAAGGCACAACATGACAAATAAAAGTGAACGAAAGGAATATTATATTTTAAATTAATTAAACTTGTACTATATATTAAAAAAAATAAAAATTATAAAATTGCTAAAAATCAGAGGGAATATGAAAAGGAAAAAAGGAAGGCAATAAATAAATAAAATTGGTAGTGTGGGGGTGCACCAGAGAGCACACAGTGTTACATAAGAGTGTCAGCTTTATTTAACCCATCTCCCAATTCCAAAACTTAAAATAAAGCGTCAACAAAATCATAAATTCAAAATTCCATTTTTTATATTAGTAAATAAATTCCATTTAGTAAAATATTTTCCGAAAAAGGAATTGCAATTCAACAGTACTCCTACTTGCTACTTCCCAAGCCTTTTCAATTTCTCCCAACCGTGAATTGAAGCTCATCTACATTAAATCAAAAACTATTTGTGCATGCACTGCTCAAACTAAAATTTAATTTTTTTTTCTTCTTTGTCTTTTTGTTCTATCTATCTAGATTGTAACGAAGTGAAAAATCTCCTCCTTTACCACCGCTTTCCACCTGTTCACAGTTCAGTGCTTCAACCTCTATATATAACAAACACACAGGAATTAGAAATTCTCACTTTTCCTCTTTTCATTTGAGAAAAAATGGCTTCAAAAATTGCAAGTACTAAGAATGTGAAGAACCAGACTGCCCTGCTTGCAGCAGGGCACTGGTTGATACTTTCTGTAGCTATCAATGTTGGGTTTTTGTTGAAGCTGATACATGACGGGAATTTAAGAATAGACTGGTATGGCCTGCACAATGGTCAAGACAATGGTGGTCACCTCTCTTCTTATGCTGCTGAGCCGAAGCCTGATGGCCAAATCCAAAATAAGTACATAAATTTGGATCAGTAAGTAGTAGAAATAAACTTTGTTTGAACTCTATTGCATGTCCCTTTTTGTGAAATTGAACAAATCTGTTGCCATGCATGCCTCAACTATTTATCAGATGCTCTTTTCAATTTTTTCAAGCTTATTCTTTTTTACTTTGCCTTATTTTGTATTTGAATTTTTCGTGTTTAGTTTCCCCTTTTTCCAGTTCCGATCTGTTCAACACCTGATCTGCATGTCACAAAACCTCATTTCCTTCTCAAGTTAATTTTCTTCTCCTTAAAATCAATTTTTTGGGTAAAAATTAGGGCTACTTTACTGATGTTGCCTGAAAATGGAGGTCATGGATGACAAGTTTTTTACTGATATGTGAAAAGGGTTTTCATGTTTTTTTTCTGATTTTTGTTACTTTACCCTTTTTTTGGGAATCGGTAGGGTTATGAAGGAGGGGGTGGTGGGGTATCGAATGGTGGAGGCGGTAGGGAGTAGGGTGGTTGGGGTTCTATCTGTAATAGTTAATGGGGTCTAATAAATTGGCCAGATTCGAAAAATCTATTGAAGGTTATGTCATATAGCATAAGAGGAGAATAATAAAATGTATCCATCAATCAATAAATACAAGATACGTGTTCAGTATAAACATCGTCTATCAGAAACAAACTCTCTACCTCACATCTCACTTGTGAGATTATACTGAGTATGTTTTATTGGAGCGGGAGGAGTTTTATGTTGTGTTCTCTTTGTTCCTTAGCTTTTGTGGTTTGTTTATGTACTTGCATAGTTGTTGACTGAGTTAAAAAGATACAAGAAGCAAAAAGGCATTATAGCTATTCTGCTGTTAAGACTGTTTTGGTTGCAGTGAATTGTTTATGTTATGTCAGTTTGCTCATTGTGATAAAGACAGATCTTTGCTGGGGTGTGTGATTTGTGATTTACAATGTGCGGGAGTAGGTAGAGGAGAATGCTTCACTTCGTTCTTAATGATTTTCTGTTCCCAAAGTTAGTTTCTACTGCTATGCACCTCCATAGAAGATGGTCCTTGTTACTCTACTTGACCAGACATCATCATTCTCGTGTTACGTACTTCTTGGAGGACCCTCATCCTACTCGAAAGAAATCACTTTTATTTATCTGTCGTTGTTTCAATTTGTTTGTCTTTCTAAGAAAGTAATAAAAAACCTTTTGAATCTTGTGTTTTAAATTAAAGATGTAGAAAATATATCAAAATGCTCTAAAGTTACCAAAAAGGGATAGACGCTAGGTGATTTTTTTTCATGGAAATATCCCGTGGAATTAGTTAAGACCAGCAAAAACTGCCCCCCACCATAGTCATTCATAAAAGACATTCTTTTTTAAATTAACAGGGAAAGTAAGACAAGGAAGTATATTTTAATGTTTCTTTTATATTGTCAAATCTTCATAAGGTGGTCATTTTGGATTCCAAAGCCATCATGTAGTTTAAAGTTACTTTTACTCTACTTGTAATTAGATGCATGTTTGTGGGTTTTTCTTTGGTGGTTTAGTGCATTTGATTTACATACAGATCCCCTTTTGTCCTTGAGAAGATCTAAAGACTAAGTGCTTTTGGGGCCCTTAAGATTGGGAAGTGCACTTTAAGACCCACCCCTTTATACATTTTGGAGAGGTGGGTGAATTGCTTGGTCTTAAATGTTTTGGAGGCATGTTTTTGCATTTGCCAACTTTTGGAGTTATTTTTCGGTCACTACCTTTTAGTCCCTAGTGTAAAGAATGTATTTGGGTGGCACTTCTGGCGAGCCTGATCCTAGATAAACAGAAGAGCGGAGCCGAAAATAGACTCCCAATAGCCCCATAGGACCCATATGTACAAACTGTGTGGGAGAAACTCTTGTTTAGCCTGATTGTTACAACAACTAACTATGCTAAGAGTCCCAAACAAGTTGGGGTCGGCCATGTGAATTCATCGGGCCAATAAAATGGAGTACAAAGTAAAATATAAACATAGATAAAAAACTAAAAGTTCTTTATATTTTATGTTGATTTGTAAATCTCTTTCATCCAATAGTTTATTCCCCTAATGGAGGAGGGTCCACAACTCTGCATTACATACCTACTTTTTATTCCATATTAATTCACATTAGGCAAGGTGGACCACTTACTAGATTGTTACCCTCCTAAGTTACATGATACATCATGTTGCATTTGTTATGTAATTCTGATTACTTGAATCTGCTGGTTAAATATTAAGATCTTTGGATTTACTTGCGTTGCTCTAATAATTATTATTAGCACCACGATTATTGTTTTATAGTTAACTTTCCATACATTGCTGCATGGGTTTGCTATACTTCATTTACTAAACTTTAGTTGTTTATTACTTGACGGTATCTTGTAAATACTGTCTATGCTAGTTAATTAAACTAATTATACAGTAAGATCTGGTTCATTTAAGAATGGTTGTGCATTTAATATTATGAGTTTTTAGAATCCTTTTCAATGATTCTATAGTCATCATGTTCCGGCAGTATGAGTTTTTAACTTCTTATTGCAACTCAATGCAGTGGTGATCCAACTATGTACCAGAGTTACTGGAAGCAGATGGGTGACAGAACCGATGTTGTCATATCTGGTTGGCAATCTGTTAGTTATTTTTCAGATACCAAAACCGTTTGCTGGTTTCTCGAACCAGGTTTTGCAAATGCAGTAACTAGATTGCACAAGCTAGTTGGAAATGCTGAGACTGGAAACCGGCACATCGTGGTTGGGACAGGATCTACCCAGCTGTTTCAGGCCGTATTATATGCCCTCTGTCCATACGATGCTCCAGAGCCAATGAGTATTGTATCTGCTGCCCCATTTTATTCGGTACGTGATGCACATTATAATATTCTCTGTCAGTGGATTTTAAGAAATGCAGTTCATTTCATTTCTGTTCTTGTTAGAGTTGGGCAAATAAAGATATTCTTGCATTTTCATATGTTATTGGACTTGGATAACTAGATTATCAGTGCCTGATAGAATTCGAATGTTAAGACTTAGACCCAAATAAATTCAAACGATCTATGCACGCTAAGTAATAGCATTCTTCACTAGAATTGTTGAAAAAAAAAATTCGTTTGGATTTAGTGAGGTGAATGTTTCTGCCCTTATATATCTCCTGTTTGATATTGCTTCCTGTATAAGGAAAACTTCAAACTGCAGGACCTCTATGTTCCTGCCTACTTATCTTCTCCTTGGACCGGTTAAATGATACCTTTTCTAATATTCGGCGTTTCTTGTATTCTATGATTTCCTACAAGTCGACAATCTGTGATCTCCAACCCGGATAGCCTTAGCCGCCTATGCTATCACTATTCGAGTAACATCGGCATGTAGCTTCTGTTTCCTTCTTTCCAATTTCTTATATTACGACCTATTTATGGACAACAAGTGAACCAGCGCTTGCAGACCTAGAACTCAAAAATATGAGTAAGCGACTTCAATGTGCATTTTTAATATTTAAACTTAGATACATGAGTAATCCATCAAATAGTTTACTTAAATGAACTGTATTCATCCCTCCCTTCTCATCTAAAGTATATCTTGTGTTATGATGAGTATTTAGGATATCATCAGAATTGGTTGCAAAGAATTACTACACCATAAGCAGACTCATTTTCCTTTCAACTTGTCAACCTGCCATTTAAATGTAACAGTACTTTCTAACCATAACAAACTTCTATTCTCACTCGTGAGAAATGTGGCAGCTGCAGGCATATTGAAATTAGGGTTGTCAATATTGAGTTTCTCATTTGGCTGCACATGAGGTCATGTTTGCTAGGTCTTGCTTTAATTTATTCCTTTCCAAGAAAGGAACTTGGCTACTTTCAGCAAGTCTTAAACAGCGTATGATAAATGGTTCTGTTGTAGAATAAACTTCACATATTCATATATGTTTTTAACTTCTTGCAGTCATACCCACTGATCACTGATTGCTTGAAATCTGGGCTCTACAAGTGGAGAGGTGAAGTCGATGACTTTAACAAAGAAGCTCCCTATATAGAGCTTGTTACTTCCCCAAACAATCCTGATGGATCAATCAGGGAAGCTGTGTTCAATGGGAGCGGACAAATATTGGTTCATGACGTAGCTTATTATTGGCCTCAGTATACTCCAATTTCTTCTAGGGCAGACCATGACATAATGTTGTTCACCCTATCCAAAAGCACAGGACATGCTGGGATGCGCTTAGGGTATGTTACTTATCTTGGACTACTATGGTTCTCAACTTCTTGATGAAACTTGAATTTTCCTATATTGCTCCATGTAAGATTTTAATCAGAAACCTTTTTTTTTTTTTAAGAAAATTGTACGAAATAAAACTTGATAGGCGAACAAATTCAATTTACACATTTACAGTCTGAGTTAGCCAATGCTATTCTTTGTTTCGACATGAACCATCACTGCCCCACAAAATAAATGGCAATTCTTATAGGTTGCTTTATGAAATTATGTTGTTTAAATCTTTGCAGATGGGCACTTGTCAAAGATGAAGCAATTGCGAAAAAGATGGTCAAATTTATAGAGATAAGCAGCATTGGTGTCTCTAAAGATTCACAAGTCAGAGCTGCTAAAATCATGGATGTTATAAACGATTCATACGAGGACTCAAAAACCTCAAATGAAAGCAAACGCTTCTTTGATTATGCCCGCGAGGAAATGGCTAAGAGGTGGAGTCAACTGCGAGAGGTAGTAAACAAAGGCCAAGCGTTTAGTTTGCCTACCTTACCTGTTGGAGAATGCAACTTCAGCCATCAAACATTTGCAACACAGCCTGGTAATATAGCTGCATTTGATGTTACAACCATATGCTCTTTCATCGTCATTTTAGTATAACATTCATTAATCGCCCTTTTAATCTTGTCGTCACAGCTTTTGCATGGCTGAAGTGCGAGCAGGTAGATGACTGTGAAAGTTTTCTGAAGAAGCACAAGATACTGACCAGAGGTGGGGTACATTTTGGTTCTAGTAAAAAGTATGTTAGGGCTAGTTTGATAGGTCACGAGGAAGACTATAACGAGTTTATTCGAAGATTGTCCTTGATAAACTCTCTGGAGTCTCCGTGATTGTAAACAGAGCTAGAGGCTAGAGCTAGTTAGTAGTATAAAGCAGTTGCTAAAATGTTAAGAAATATTTTGACTGCTCTCTATAAAAAAAATTTTTAAAAAAACATCTAAATGAGTATAATCTCTATAAATATATATCGAAGATTTGCCACCATTGCTGTCTACACATTCTTTGCACATATATTGCACAGTTTAAAAAAATGAGTATTTTTTATTTCAGTATACATGTATACATTATGAGCATTTTAATTAAGTTTTTGAAAGAAAAAGAACATGAAGAACGGGATTTATTAGTTGAAAAATTGGTTAGAACTTCAATTCCAAATTGAATTAAACAATTGACTACAATTTATAATAAAGTTTTTGAAAAAATAAAAAGTTAAATAAATCAAAATACAATAATAAAATTGTACGTCCAAATGGTACTAAATCTCATGAGTTTTGCAAGGACCTTGAAATTATTTTATACGGAATAGGACCAATAATATTCTTAACGTATTTAGTATGGTTAGCAAATGTCCTCTGCTAGCTTTTTAAGCTTAAAATATATTCTATATATGTTTTTTAGCTCAAACATATCTATAAAACTAATAGATCAGATGATATATGATAAATTTTAGTAATTTAAAATAACTAAGAAATATTTTTTAAGCTTGTGTAACATGCATCCCAATATTTTTTTTTACAAGTTAACTTTAGAGTTACTTTGTTAATTATTGTTTACTAATTTTAACAGATTTCATATTGAAGGGGGTACTTTTGAAATATATTTTATATGATATGTATACAAATTAGATATAGAAATTCATACGTAAATGATTGCAAAAGTTTTCAGAAGAAGCACAAGATACTAATCAAAGATGAAAAATATTTTGGTTCTAGTAAAAAGTATGTAAGAGTCAGTTTGATAGGTAACGAGGAAGACAATAACAAGTTTATTCAAAGTTTGTTCCTAAGTCTTCGTGAACAAACCTAGTTAATTGTATAAAGCAGGTGCCAAAATGTTTAGAAATATTTTGACTAATCTCTATAATAAATACTTTTATCTAAATGAATGAAATCTTTATAAAATTATGTCCCTATTGTTTCCTCTTTGCGTACACACTCTTTGCACAAATATTGCACAATCATTGCACCGTTAAACAAAATGAGTATTTTTACTTCATTATACATGTATACATTATGAACATTTGAAAAAAAAGCCCATGAAAATCAACATTTTTTGCATGAAAAATAGGTTAGAACTTCAATTCCAAATTGAATTAAACAATTGACTACAATGTATAATCATTTTTTTTTAAAAGTAAAATAAATAAAAGGTTAAAAAAATCAAAATACAATAATTAAATTGTATGTTCAAATCATACTAAGTCTCATGAACTTTGTTAGGACATTGAAATCATATTTATACCGAGTAGGACCAATAATATCCTTAACGTATTTAAAATGGCCCGCAAATGTTCTCCACTAATTTTTAAGATAAAAATACACTTCATGCATTTCTTTTAACCCAAACATATCTCTAAAACCAATAGATCAGATGATATGATAAAATTTGGGAGTTTAAAATAACTATATTTTTTAATGTAACATCTCGATATTATTTTTTTGCAAGTAAACTTTAGAGTTACTTTCTTAATTATAGTTTACTAATGCTAACAAATTTATATAAATGTATGTATACTAGATATAGAAATTTGTGCTAGCAGTAAATAATTGTGAAAGTTTCCTAAAGAAGCATAAGATAATGACCAGAGGTAGGGAATATTTTGATTCTAGTAAAAAGTATGCAAGGGCTAGTTTGTCACGAGAAAGACCATAACGAATTTATTCGAAGATTGTCCTTATAAGCTCTTTGGAGTCTTTGTAATAGTAAACAAAGCTAGTTAGTTGTATAAAGCAGAAGCTAAAATGTTAAAAGAAATATTTTGATTGCTCTCTATAATTAAAAAAAATCATCTAAATGAAGATAATCTCTATCAAAATATATCGAAGATTTACCCCCATTATTCCTTTTTGCCTACACATTCTTTGCACAAATTTTGCACAACCACTGCACAGTCTTAAAAAAAAAGTATTTTTAACTTCATTGTACATGTATACATTATGAGCATTTTAATCAAGTTTTTGAACGAAGATTTTTTACTTGAAAAATTGATTGGAACTTCAATTCCAATTGAATGAAACAATTGATTATAATGAATAGATTATATGATATGATACGATAAAATTTGAGAGTTTAAAATAATTATTATTTTAAAGTTTGTGTTACATCCCAATATTATTTTTCCATAAGTTAACTTTAGAGTTACTTTGTTAATTATAGTTTACTAATTTTAACAGATTTCATATTGAAGCGGTACTTTTGAAATATATTTATACACTAATGTATGTAAACTAGATACAGAAATTTATACTAGTGATAAATGATTGTGAAAGTTTTCTGATGAAGCACTAGATATTGGCCAGAGATGGAGAACATTTTGGTTCTAGTAAAAAGTAAGGGTCAGTTTGATAGGTCACGAAGAAGACTATAACGAGTTTATTCGAAGATTGTCCTTGATAAACTCCGTGGAGTCTTCGTGAATACACCTAGATAGTTAGGTGCCAAAATGTTAAGAAATATTTTTCCTCTTTGCATACACACTCTTTGCACAAATATGGCACAATTATTGCACATTTTTAAAAAGGGATAAGGATCTGAAAAATACTTTAATTTTGGTCGAATTTGCTGTTGCGATACTAAACTTTCATAAGGACCTATTACCTCCCTAGACTATTTAATACCGTATTTTAAACATATATATTTGTCCACGTGGACATAAAAAATAATGCAAAATTATAAATAGTAATGTGTCCACGTGGGCACATATATACCTTTAAAATACACAATTCAATAGTTCAGGGGGTAAAAAATACGGTATTAAATAGTCTAGGGAGATAATAGGTTCTCGTGAAAGTTTAGTATCGCAACAACAAATCCGACCAAAGTTGGGGTATTTTTCAGACGTTTATCCCTTTTAAACAAGAAGTATTTTTACTTCATTATACATGTATATATTATGATCAATTTGATCAAATTTTTGAAAGAAAAAGAACATGAAGATCGGAATTTTTACTTGAAAAATTGGTTAGACTTCAATTCCAAATTGAATTAAACAGTTGACTACTATGTATAATCAAGTTTTTAAAAAAATAAAAGGTTAAAAGAATCAACACAATAATTGAATTGTATGTCCAAATGATACCATATCTCATGAATTTTGCAAGGACATTGAAATTATTTTTATAGGAAATAAAATTAATAATATCCTTAACATATTTAATATGACTCGCAAATGTCCTTCACTTGTTTTTTAAGCTAAAAATACACTCTATATTTTATTTTATTTTTATCTTAAACTATCTCTAAAATTAATAGACCATATGATATGATAAAATTTGAGAGTTTAGTATAATACCCATTAATCACCCTTTTTATCTTGTCATCATAGTTTATGCATGGGTGAAGAGGCGGGGTACATTTTGGTTCTAGTAAAAAGTATGTAAGGGCTAGTTTGATAGGTCATGAGGAAGACTATAACAAGTTTTTTCGAAAATTATCCTTGATAAACATTACGAAATTTTAGTGAAAAAAATAGGTGTCTTGAAATGTAAAAATATATCGAAGATTTGCCCCCATTGCTTCCTCTTTGCATACACACTCTTTGCTCAAATAAGGCACAATGGTTGCACAATTAAAACAAAATGAATATTTTAACTTCATTCTATGTGTATACATTATGAGCATTTTGATCAAGTTTTTGAAACAAAAAGAATATGAAGATCGATTTTTTTTTTAACTTGAAAATTTGATTAGAACTTCAATTCGAAGTGGTATTAAACAATTGACTACAATTAAAATACAATAATTAAATTGTATGTCCAACTGGTACTAAATCTCATGAATTTTGCAAGGACATTGAGATTATTTTTATACGGAATAGGATTAATAATATCCCTAACGTATTTAATATGGCTCGCAAATATACTTCGCTAGTTTTTAAAGCTAAAAATACACTTTACATTTTCTTTACTCAAATATATTTTCTTTATATTTGCGCGCACACTTTTTGCACAGATATGGCACAGCCATTGCGCAGTTAAAAAAAAAAGTGTTTTTACTTCATTATAGATGTATACATTATGAGCATTTTGATCAAGTTTTTTTAAAGAAATAGAATATGAAGATCGAAATTTTTACTTTAAAAATTTGTTCGTAGTAACAAATTTTTATTTAAAAAATATTATACAGATAAATGTTTTTAGAGAAAATTGTATGAAATAGCAAACTATTAATTCAAATTAAATGTTATAGTCATAATTTATTTTAATTGTAATTCGCAGCAAACATCCCTTTTGTTTTGCCATCTGATTCGGTATACAATTAGCCATTTTATACATTTCGGTATAAAATGTATAAATGCGTTTGTGTTTGTATAAAGCGAGAGAAAAGTGTATATACAAATACAAATATATATATTTTCGTATGATACACTTATACTTATACAAATACAGATCTTATTAAACAAATTACAATATATAAATGAATTTATTCAAAACTGAACAATTTGTATAAAATTGGATGTTTGTAGCGAATTATACAAATCAAAAGTTCTATAGCAAACATAAAATTTGTTATGGAGTGCAATTATGCAAACTATAGTTATAACATACAAATATGATTTTTATGTTTGCTATATGTGAAAGTTGCACATGTTTTTATGAGATGGAAAATTAGTTAATACATTAGTGGGCCTAATTTATATTGTGAATGTTAGTTGATATTTGGCCCACGTAATCTTTCTTGCTAGCCCACGTAAAAGGACCTAGGGCTTTTACTAGATTCCCCTTTCTGTTTCTCAATTAACCCATAACTTTCAGCCCACTGCCTAAAACTGACCCGATCCCTGTACGTCTTCCTCACAGTAGCGAGACCCAGTACCCCCCCCCCCCCCCGGTGCGCGTCCTTCTTCTCCAACAGCAATAGTGTACGCGTTTCTTCCCCAGACGCATCAGTCCGGGCAAAAGCCGCGACTCTGACCCGTCAACATCAGCCACAGAGCAAACGGCGAAGGTACGCGTACTATACACGTCGTCTTCCTCGCCTCAACAGTACAACAGTAGGCCCTCACGTCCCCTTTACCCTCTTTTTTCAGAATTTCCCATCCCCTTCACTGTTGCTTCGAAAATAGCTGAAGAATTCAAAAAAAAATTAACAAACGGATTTTTTTTTCCCCCCCAAATCGCCCAAGCTTCCCCTATAAATGGCCTCATCTCTTCCCTATTAAGGACAAATTTTTGAGTAGTAGAGAGGTTGGAGACAATAGATTTTTACGAAAAATCAAGAACTAGTTTTTCTTTGGTATCGATTCTTTGCTTGCTCGAGTTAAGCTCACTTGTGGTCGTGGAAAGTTGCTCCCCTGCTCATCATCCTCTCAGTCTCGCTGCTCTGAAAGAGGTAATCTCTTTTCCTTTCTTTTGTTTTCTGTTGTAGAGCTAAATTTCTGAAGATAGCAGTATTTTTTGTGTTTGAGATTAGATAGTAAGGATGTGGTTTTCGTTGTTGGAAGATGTCATATCATTCTCTTGACAATTTATTACGTCTCTTATCATGGCTTGAGTATTTCAGCATGCTTCTCTGTTCGAATTCGGAACACATTTAAGTTAAGTTTTCTGCAACACCTTCTATCATTCTTTTCTTAGTGGAGTCCTTTGTGTATGAGTTCCTTGTTTGCGTTTACCCTCTCCATCCATTTGATTGAATCTGATTGTTCTTTAAAGTGATTTTATGGGTTTCAAAAATGATGTTAAACTTCGTCTTCTCGTGAGTCTACTCATTTGAGTCGACTGATGTTAAATTTTGGATATTTATTTGGCTTTTTTTTCTTCTGTTCATGCCATCTTCTTATAAACATTAATAGTATTAGTTTCAATAGTAATATTAGTTTCAAGTCTTTGTCAGATTAGTTGTATTACTTGAAAATATGTGTTCAGTAAGTGATACTCTGCCTCAATTATTGTTTGTTAGGTTCACTTCATGTTCACTTAGTGTGGATTCATATCTTAGCTTGTCATGTTTCAATTTCTTTTGGCTACCTTGTTCTGCAGTTTTCTTTCAATATTCATGTAATTAGATCCTATTTTGTTTGTTGGGAAACTCTTGAATTTAGCCCCCTTGAAATGCAATTTGTATTTTTTTATTTTTTATCGGAGAATTACTTTCGAAATAAGAAGTAATGTTAAGCGATTGGTTACGTTTACGATTTGTCAAGTAAATACAATAGCAATTGGTTATCAAATGAAAGATGCAGTAACCATTTGTTTGCATCTGAAGTAGCCATGCATAAAGCTCTGTTAAACAGCGATGTTTGAACATTTGATCAATTTTAAATGAAGCCAAACTTTGGACATTTTTATTGAAGTTTCACGTACTTGTCAAGACTAGTTTTCAAACATTTTTTTTTTATTGAAGTACATGCAAAAGTAGCTAAAACTACAGTCACATGTGTGTGAAGCGTTTATTCTCCAAAACAAGGGTGTTGGAATTTCAAGAACTCAGCACTCAAATCTACTTAAAGTAAGTCCAAATCTACTTCAAGCGTATATTGTTGTGGTATCATTAAAGTTTCTTGTTACTATAAGAGTATATGTATATTGTTGTGGTATCATTGACTAATGAGTAATTTCTGTATAAGAAACCTTAATGATACCAATATAGTATATATATACTGTTTTAGTATCAATTAAACGAAATTATCAACCTTAATAATACCAATACAATATATGATACCGTATCAGTTATGCGAAATTAGTTGGGGTATATAATGTAATTATTTAGTGGGGTATGAATGTAAATGGGTATATATTTGTAATTATTTTGCTTTTATGGGGTATTTGCTTAGTTTCTCCGATCAATTATTACATTTCCTGCTGGGCAATGAGCTGCATTTTCGGTTCGTAAGTAAAGACCCAAAACTTGAGTAGACTTTAATGCCCAATTTCCTTTTCGATAAACCCGTTTTGATACACTTGTAACTCTCTTCAGTCATCAGTGGCCCTCTATATCGCCGGTGAGGTTTCGCCGTTCCGATAAGGTTCCGACGACTTTCAATTCTATTTACGTTCTACTATCTGTATCTGTTTTTGTAATTTAATTGGAATTAAGTTTGTCGTAATTCATAGGGGAAAGATTAAATTGAGTGAAGAATTTTTGGGGAAAATGGATAAGGTGAAAGTGGGGCAATTGAAGATTCAAATGCAGCAATGGTTAAATGAAGCTGAAGAATTCATCAATGATATACCTCCCGTTCAACTGTATACTGCTGTTGGAGTTGTATTATCCACTCTCATTTTGTTGTTAATCAGTAAGCTCTTAAAACTTCCCTTAGGGTTAGAGATTTCATTTGGTTTCTCAATTCTCATCTGTGTGTGTCGAATTTGTTTGAATTTTCACATTTCTGAGTTTGATTAGGAAATTGAAGGTTTCTTTGTTTGCTAGCAAAATGTTGATTACATAGCTCAGTCAGCATATCTTAGTCAAGCTACAAAAATAGAGCTTTTTTCTGTTAGTCAATTGCACTTCAGTTCCAAATTTGTTGGAATTGATTATATGAATCTTCTGTTAACATTGAGCAATCAGCATATAGTTTGTTTATTTTTCTAGAAAATAGTTTTCTTCTGTTTAGCTAGCCATCAACCTACAATACTTTATCATCTTTTGTTAGAATTGGGGTTTCGATAGCTGTTTTAGGACTTGTTTTTTTCTTTACTTGTATGTAAATAAGAAGAGATAATTGAATGAATCATTAAGCATGTTTTGTAGAATATTCTTACTATTTTGGCAGAAACCAAAAATATCATTAAGAATAGCAACAACAACAACAATAACATCCTAGTGTAATACCACAAGTGAGGTCTGGGAAGGGTAAGGTGTATGCCGACCTTACCCCTACTTTTGTGGGGTAGAAAGACTTTCTGAGAGGAAAAATATCATTCAGAATATTTTTATTAAAATAATAATAACTATGTCTTGATATCCCAAACATTTTGGGGTCGGATATATGATATCTAATTGTTCATGTTGCTCCTTTTAAGATCTTTTCAATGCAATTTTCTACAAGACAAAAATAAAAATAAAAGACTATTAGAAGTTCTCTATTTTCTACTGGCATGTATATCTCTGGCTCCTACTAAAAGACTCCTAGAAAGCAATGGATTAAATATACATTGAAATATGATTAAAACATAATCCTAACATATTGGTATCACCAATATTAATCTTTTTCTTTTATTGTGCCCTACTTTTCACTAAGCATGCATGGGTTCCAAAAGATTACAGGTCCTCCAATACAACTTCTTTCCATGTGATTTTGGGTTTAATTCATCCCTCTGAAACCTACACTCACTATGGTTTAACACCTTGGGTCATGTATATTTGGAGGTCAACTTGGGACATGAACCGAACTATCTCAATTGACCTTTTCTCGTTTTATCCTCTGTGTGCTACTTGCACCTTCTGTTGTATATAGTTATTTTTAATCTTGGCTAAATTTGTTTGACAACACATCCATTTTAGCATTTGCATATTTTTGGACACTACACTCATCTTGTGAATATGTCGGATTTTAGAGGTCTATAGATTCACTCCTGTATAACATTTATGAGCTCGCAACCGTTTGTAGGACTTTTGCTTTCACTTTGGTGTACATATCCTTAAAACACAAGACTCTTGTAGTATTTCTCTACTTTAACCATTCTACTTGAATATATGTGTAACATCTTCATGTATCATACCATTTTTCTTGAATATCTCAAGAAATTTATACAAAGTAGAATATCATTACAAAAATGAAGAATATTAGAAACACAATTATGAAATTTCCCATATCTCCCAATTTACCAATTAAAAAAAATAAAAATTCCCATATCTCATGTAGCTTAAACCACCTCCCACATGATGAGTCCTATTTTATACTGCTAATAACAAAATTCAGTAAGCGTTTTTTTTCTCTCTTTTCCTTCAGACTCCCCTTGTAGTATTACACTAGGTATGTTGGTGTTGTTTTCTTCTCTCTTTTTTTTCCACATGGTAATGGAGTTTGTTACTCACAAGCAAGTGGTCATATGCCATCTGTCTGCCTAAATTTTTTTCTTTCCGTTGACGAGTGCATTATTTTTGTCTCTTTCTGGTGATTATTCTAGGGTGTCTTTTTGGTGATCATTCAGTGACACCATCTTGCCTTAGCATTCTTCTGACAATTTTTCAGCATTCCTGGAAAAATCTTCTCTTCTTCTTGTTCTCTATGATATTACCGTCTCAACAATTTTGATAGAATTCAGTAGCTTTGCCTATAGGTGAGAGGCCTTAAGCTGCCTGTTCGTCTTGAATTTCTTGTTTTCATGGGTTTAATATGAAGCAAAGTATGACTATTGTAAATGTCTCTTTCTAATGACCATTGTGGAGGCCCTCTCTTACTTCTAATGATCATTCTAGAGTCATTATTATAATGTGTTTCATAATTGCTCCCGCTGCACCTCCTTTTGTGATCATCCTGATGGGCTGACTCTTTTTGCCGTGTTTCAAATCGTTCTTACAGAGTTTTCAAGTAAACGATTCATTGCGCCCCTTGATGATGAATCTAAGGTCAGTCCCTCCTCTAAATATTGAATTTTCTATCAGAATTTATGGGAACATATTTTCATTTTTATTTTTTCTTTATGGTGTCAGAGTTTGAGTATGGAGTCATTTGTTTGAACATTGAATTTCCGATCACTTGTTCTCAAAAGATTTTTTCTTCCCTTTTTTAATTTTTTCAAATAGATCAAGACCTAATTATTGATTCCTTTGAGTATTGAACTTTTAGTCATCTTCCCAAGGAGAATATTCTTCCCCTACCCCTTTTTATAAGGTTAAGCAATTTTATAAGTAATGGAAAAATCTTCCTCATACAGTATACCAAAAAGTAGAGGATCTGCTGCATAATATGACCATAGAGGACACAATCTTCTATACAATTTAGAGCCTCATGGGTGCACCAAAAGAAGCTAGAAATGAGAGGCTATTCCTCAAATATAATAATCATTCTCTATTGAGCTAGCCGGGCAACACCCCGGTTCTGTTTCTTTCCTTCCAAAGGACCCGCATGAGTGCTAGCGGGGCAGCATCCTGGGCTCTCCCATTTCTCTTCTTAGAAGTCCTTCTTTTCATTGAAGTTCTAGTTATTGTTCTGGAAACTTTTTTGGGCGTCATTCTTCAGCAACCAATTTGAACCATGCTGATGTTTTGCTGGGTATTTATGTGTGTCTTTTTCCAGTGATTGAAAACAGATTCTTTCTGTTTTAATGCAAGAAACTTTCTTTCTATGTACTGGGTGCTTTTCAGGAGAGAAATTGCCGACCACTTTTCTTCTGGGTGGTTTTTCAGTATTCTGGTGTATTATTCACTTGTCTGTTTGATGTTCCATTTCTTTTTAGTGTTTTGTATTTCAGAATAAGTAAACTCAATTTTTTTTTTGAGAATTGGTAAACATTGTATTCTTCAGCAATAAGGATATGCTGGGGACCTTTAAAAAATCAGAAAAGAACAAAAAGCATAATACTTACAAGGATCCTAAGAATTCTAAAAGTTGATCAAAAAGTTGATCTGAATCCTCTAATACTATCTCTTTACACCAAAAATATAGAGATACAATGCAATTCCATTTAACCTTGTGAATGGAATTGGTTATATCTTCAAAATTCCTACTATTCCTCTCCTTCCACACTGTCCACCAAATGCAATGTGGTATCACATTCCACCAGGTCTTCTGTCTCTTACTATCTCCTCTCCTGATCCAACAACTAAGTAAATCAGTTGTATGTTCGGGCATTGTCCATTTCACTTCTAAAAAGTTGAGAAACATGGACCATAATTGTGCTGTGAAAGTACAATGTAAGAATAGGTGATTGTTCGTTTCCCTGTCTTTCTACATAAAGAGCACCACGGAAGTATGATCTTCCTTTTCTTCCTCAAGACTGCATGTGTCAAGCATGCCTGTCTAATGACCAGCCAAGTAAAGCATTTAACTTTTGTTGGTGCTGCAGTCCTCCAGATATTTTTCCATGAACTCTGGTATCTTCTACTTTGTGAGTTGCACTCCTTTTTATATGCCCTGCCAACTGTGAAGATCCCATCCTTACTGTGTGACCATCTAACAACATCATTGTCAGTATTGGTGCCTGCAAAATCCCCCACTTCCTCCAACAATTTGGCTACTCTCTCTATTTCCCAATCATTTAGAAGTCTTCTGAAATAGAGATTCCAACCTTGTACTGTCCAGCAATCACTGATCATTGCCTCAGAATTGGTGCACAAAATAAACAGATCAGGAAACAGGTCTTTTAGGGGGGTTTGTTTGATCCATACATCCCACCAGAATCTAGTTCTCCTTCCATCCCCCACCTTGATATGTAAATTTGCTTCTAACTTGGGCCATAAGTTTCTAATAGCTCTCCAAACCCCCGCTCCATAAGCATCCGTGCTTATGTTACTACACCAGAATCCATCCTCCCCATATTTACATTTAATCAAATCTTTCCACAAAGCTTGCCTCTCCTCAGTGTATCTCCACAACCATTCATCAAAAGACTGTTGTTATGCTTCCTCAAATCTCTGATGCCCAAGCCACCTTTATCTTTTCTATGCAAAACTGTCACCCACTTGACCAAATTGTATCCTTTGTTCTCTTTGCAACCATGCCAAAGGAAATTTCTGGAATTGAATAATTATGTACAATATTCTTAACGATTATGTTTTTGTTCAAATTTGAGAATCATTATGCGAATTATTAAAGTATTCTTAATGATCATGTCATAATTAAGCATACTCAATAATTTAAAAAACAAAAACATCATATTCCATTAAGTTACAGAACTCTTACATCAAGAGCCTTCTTGTATGCTGATAAGAACCAAATTTAATAAGAGTTTTTCTTTTCTAATGTTCTTTACAGAATGACTAGTAATTTACATTTGACAAGTGAATTTCATTCGTCTATGAGTGTGCCGTTGGATGTGTTAGTCGGTATGACATATACTGGGCATGAATAGTGGCGCTCATTCTTAACCAGATCGAAAGGGTTCGCTCATGCTGGAGGGAGTTTCCCCACTTAGTGATCGGTCTGCTAGTTCACACAAATCTGCAGAAATTATAGCAAATGAGCCACATGCAGGGAAACCTTCAAGCTTGGCTCTACTGGATAGGTTAGCAGTAAGCTTGGCTACAACGAATCGTTTACCAAGTGCGAAGGAAAGGACCTTCTCAACTTAGCCGTATGCAGGGGAACTTGCACGTGCGGTTAGAGCTAGTAGGAGCCATCTAAAGCTATCTACCCCAAACAAAAGAACTGAATTACCTTAGTTACCTATTTCAAAAAAAAAAAAGTTACCTATTTCAAAAAAGAACTGAATTACCTTTTGCAGGTATCATTTCAGTTGAGCTGGGAACTTCTATTTACCAATGCAAACAATGGGAGCTTTAATGGTTATAAGCTGCTCCCAATAGTTCACAGTGAATATATTTCTAGAGTGCAGGATCTAAATAAACATTGTATTTGTGTTAAGAAATTCATTAAATATGCGCACACAATAAATTTAGAACCCAATCATTACCACTTAAAGTCAATTCTGTATTGATCCGCTGGACCTCGAGTTACCGGAGGGGGCATGAAATGAACCCGGAAGGGAAGCCACAGGAGCAGGAGTGGAGAGAAAGTAAAAGAGGAAAGGTGTTTTCCCATTCGATTGATCGATTCAGAGTCTCGAACCGAAGCCCTAAAGAAAGTTTTTGGGCAAGACAAGAAAGGAACTCGCCCTTTGACACCAAGGGATAAGAGCTGATTGCTGGCGATGACTTGGTGAAGGGAGTCCAGAACTAGATATAAAATCCTGGCTCCGTCTCAGGCACTAGTTCAATTGGAAATGCTGTGGCATACTTGTGCAGTTGTTGTAGCTTACCGGAGAACACAAAGAAAAAAGATGTTTTTCCTTGCCCACCGGTTTCAAGGGAAGAATGTAAATGTTTTTAGGCTTAGTGAGCTCTTTCTATCATTTTCTTTTGTCTTCATTTCTCCTCTTTAATGCCACACATTTTTGTAATTTCTATATCACTCTTCTGTTCACTATGATGATCCTCAGTGAATGACTTAATGTATTAGTTTTAGATTGTTTGCTCATCTATTTTGACTTTCTTTGGAGGCTAAAATTTGAAGATTTTCCTTTTGTTTACTTCTTCGCCTGCAGTTCGCTTGTTCAAGCGTACAACATCTAACACCATTGTACTCACTGGGCTAAGTGGAGGCGGCAAAACATTTCTTTTTTACCAGGTAACTCTCTGACACGTGAACTGTATAATCTTTTCAAAGTTAAATTGGTCTGATCTTGATGTGCTGGCATATACCAGCTTAGAGATGGTTCAGCCCATCAGGGTACCATGACGTCAATGGAACCAAATGAAGGCAGTTTTATACTACACTCTGAGGAAGACAAGGTAATGAACATTGTCTTATCTTGTTTCCCCTTTTCTGCCCTACCATTTTGCATGCATCCTTGTGATCTATACCTTTAGAAGGGAAAGATGGATCTTATTATTGCTGATGGTCCATCAGTTTTTTCTTTGGTAATTGATTTACTGAATTCCTTTATCTGTGAATGGAATTTCACATTACATACGACTTGTTTTGGTTTTTGCTGCAGAAAGGGAAATTGAAGCCTGTTCACGTTGTTGATGTCCCTGGGCACTCTCGTCTTAGGCCGAAACTAGATGAGTTCCTGCCTCAAGCAGCTGGCGTTGTGTTTGTGGTGGATTCAGTGGAATTTTTACCAAACTGCCGTCCTGCTTCAGAGTACTGATCATTTGTTGTTGCTTATACTTTACATTGGCAGTTGTTAATTTGCATTGGATATCTCACAACTGAATTTTACATCATATAATCCCTCTTGCATGAAGGTACTTATATGAGATCTTGACAAAGGCAAGTGTGGTGAAGAAAAAAGTTCCAGTACTCCTCCTTTGCAACAAGGTTGACAAAGTAACTGCACATACAGCAGAATTCATCAGAAAACAGCTGGAGAAAGAAATGTAAGAGTACACTATGCATGCATTTATTTTGTAGCAAACACCAATTTGCCTTTTGTATACATACATACATACATACATATATATTATGTGTGTAAAACATCACTCTGATCCGAACACATAAAAAGGCAGAACTGCCTTCTGAAGAGTTGAAATTTACCTCTCCAAGGTGGAATACTGTGTTGCATGCTTTATTCTCCTTTTGGTAATGAACAACAACCCTTTATAAATTGTTGGTAATATCATTAATTCAGCAACAAGCTTACGCCTAGAAAACCTTCCCAAACATGGAATCTTGTTGCATGCTTTATTTGCTAATATACTTGGACGCTCACTGAATCATAACCACTGCAAAAACTTAAAAACTGAAGTACTATCTCTTGTGTTCTGCTTTATAACCAGTTTGTTTTCTTATTGATCCAGCGACAAGCTTCGTACATCAAGAACTGTTGTATCTGATGCAGATATCTCTAATGAATATACGCTTGGTGTACCTGGAGAACCATTTGCTTTTTCTCAATGCCATAACAGAGTAATTGTTGCTGAAGCTTCTGGTCTGACGGGTGAAATTTCTCAGCTGGAGAAGTTCATTAGGGAGAATGTGAAACCTTGACTATGGTATTTCAAGCAAATGGGGGATCCTTTTTATTTCTTTTCTTCTCTTTTATTATTGGTCCGGGAAGAGGAAAATACTATCAGAAAGACAGAAAAAACATCAACTTGGAAAACATATTCAAAGTAGGGATAGGAATTTGAAGGGTTTTCCTTATGTTCTATTGGAAATCCCCACCTAAACATTATGTTTGTTGTGCCTAGAATATCTTGTCATTGGATTTGATTACTTCCCTTTATTTTTGTGCTGGCTGCTTTTCATGGCAAAGGACTTTCCTGTGCATAATTTTTCTTCATTGAATTCCATTTCCCCTCCATGTGTTGCTAGCCACATTGAAGATGTTCTTTCTGTGTGCTTCTGATATGTTTGAACTACTGGAGATGTCAAATAACACTTTTTTTAGCAACCAAGAAATGCTCTAACACTATTTGGCATATGGTTCAAAACTTGGTGGATAATGAGTTCCAAAGAGTGCATCTTTTCTGCCAAGATTTGCATGCTTGATGAGCGATATGTGAACATAATATTTCTTGACAATTGAACACTTATCTTGTTATTGTTGTAGGACTCTTTGTTTGTTTACACCTCGATTATTCTATTGGTACTTAATATCTCCATTGTGTAGAAGAATATTTAGAATTTTTGAATGTTGTGTCTTTTTTGTTTCCCACTCAGTACTCAGTATTCAATTTTGGCTTTAGAGTTTTGACTATTTGAATTGTGCATTATAATGTCTGTCAAAGGGAGAAACAACTCCCCACTAAAATCTCAATTATTTTCAAGGCTCAAAATGTGTTTAACTTGTTTAATCTTAAATAAGTTTAAATGTCTACTTAGATGCTAGTTCAGGCTAAAATGATGCATTTTTGTTTTAATGCCTTTTTAATCATTGCTAAATGACTAAAAGAGGTTTCACATATTTTCCCCTTGGAATAAACTTTAGTGGTTTGCATCACAAGCTGAAAATAGTAGACAATATGAAGGTAACTCATGGAAATTCAAGCAACAATTACATACGGGGTTTGGAGAGGGTGGCGGATATGCATCCTTAACCTTACTGAGGTTGTTTTCGATAACCCTCGATTCAAGTAGAACATATCAAATATGAAGAGGATATACAAAGGAAATTCAAGAATGTGGGAATAAAATCTTTTTCCATTTCTTCCGAGTCTGTTGATGAGGGTAAAACGTATAAATAGAATAGCTTGTGCTGCTCAGCTCATTTATCTGAGTAACATTAAGAATTTAAAAGAAAAAAAAGACATTTTGGTTTAAGAATTACTAGTGTATATTGAGTAATGTTTTTTGACTTGTTTAATGGTATTTGAACTCATTGTTGTCTCCAGATATCTTTCTAATCATCCATTTGAACAATTTTGCTAACCAATACTTCAATGCTATCACCAAGGCAAACATACCATAGCAAGGGAGATGAACCACACCAACCATCAAGTACCTACAATTACACATTTGGCAAAGAGCATGAAGCATAACGATAAGCGTATGAATAACTCTAGATAAATACTAAGGCCTCGTTTATTTGCACTTAATGAAGGTTTTAATCTTATTAATTATACAAATTTGTCATTAAGTTCATTTGTGTTTTAGGTCTGAATCATAATTATTCAGATATTTAACCATTACAATTACTTAATGTGTGTTGAATATAGGGGTGTACATGGCCGGGTTGGTTCGGGTTTTTCAAATATCAAACCAAACCCTTTGTGTCTAATTTTTAAATTTATAAACCAAACCAAACCAATAAAACTCGAGTTTTTCAACCTCGGATTTTTTCGGATTTTTCCGGTAAAATATTCATACAAACATATAATTTACTTGTAATTCAAATATTTCTTTAGTCCTACCAAAATACAACTATCTAAGATGTTTCTTAAAAATATAATACAATATGATATGATTAATGACACTAAAATATCCAACAAAAATAATAATAATGAAATCGCGTAAAACAAATATTGCAAATTAACAAGTCATAATGAAAAATGATCATAATTTAAAAGTACTAAATCATGCTAAAATTAAGTTTAATAAGTATTAGTTACATAACTAAATATTAAAGGAAATTAAAATTAGATTATGTATTTTAATTGTCTAAACCAATGTAAAACTAAAGAACAAATATTCAATATTACTGTCATAGTCGGATTTTTTTCCGGGTTGACTCGGTTTGCGGTTTGGTTCGATTTTCGATTCGGTTTTGTACACCTCTAAACTTGAATAGATGACCAATTAAGATATGTAACAAAGTTTTAATATCATAAAGATGTATATTCAAGGATAGTTCAATAATTCTATTCATTCACCACAATCGCCTACCATTGGCAACTACTAACCATCCACCACCCACAACTGACGTCACTGCCAATCATTACAATCATCAGTCATCACCACCACTAGCCAGTAGCCACCATTCACAATCATCACCACCAACTACAATTACCATAACAACCATCAATCACTACCGACAATCAACATCATCAGTCATCAATATATATCTCCAAGTACATAATAGGATCAATAATATCCCTAACATATTTATTTAATATGGCTCGCAAATATACTTCGCTAGTTTTTAAAGCTGAAAATACACTTTTTTTCTTTTAGCTCAAATATATTTTCTTTATATTTGCGCACACACTTTTGGCACAAATATGGCACAACCATTGCACAGTTCAGAAAAAAAGTACTTTTACTTCATTATAGATGTATACATTTATGAGCATTTTGATAAAGTTTTTTAAAGAAATAGAATATGAAGATCGGAATATTACTTTAAAAATTGGTTAGTAGTGACATATTTTATTTAAAAAATATTGAGTAATACATATAAATGTAATTTTTCCTATAATGTATGAGATGAAAAATTATTAGTTAATACATTAGTGGGCCTAATTTATATTGTGAATGTTAGTTGGTTTTTGGCCCACGTTTTCTTTCTTGCTAGCCCACGTAAAAGGACCTAGGGTTTTTAATAGATTACAAAACTGTACAAGTGATAAATTATTTCAATTAGTGCCTAAATAGTTTATATAATGTATATATTTTGTATCAATGGATTATAAATAGTATATATCAGAAATATACATACATCTATATTCTTCATCCAAAAATGGCTGAAAATTCGGCCACCTTTTCTTTACATAAAAGTAAAATTCCTTTTTGGATGTGAAAAGAAAGGGTGGCCGAAAGCATATGCATCCATATTCATCCAAAAAAAGATTTTTGGATGAAAAGAAAAGGTGGCGGAATGGCTATATTGAGTAAAAAATTTAATCGATTGTCATTTTATATAATTTTCCCTTTTAAAAAAGTACATTTGATATTTCCAAAATTCTACCATGTTAGTCATTGTGTTAATTATTTGCTCAATCACACTATTATATGGCTTGACTTTCACTTCCATCTCAATATTATTAGCGACTGATCATTAAGGTTTAAATTCTGCACTAGTAATATTTTCTTGAGTGTGAAAAATAGACACAAATAAGTGATATAGCATATCACGCCACTTAGATAATGTACAAGGAATTTAACTGATCAATTGGCTTTTGTGGTTTGATGAATTTTCTTTTTTATGTTGTTATAAAACAAAGAATCGTAACTTTGTTTACCGGCAAAACAACAAGAGTCCAAATTCGACATTCAACGAAAAGAAGATACCAAACACAAAAGGGCTCACGCATTTTATTATAATAGTACTAGAAAATCAAAACGCTGCAAATTAAGCACATTAAACACAGTAATACATACACATATTAAATTATATATAAAAAACACAGAACTTAACAGTACTCCAATCAGAATTTCAATCACGCATTCTAGTAGTCTCCTTCTGGGCTGTTCTCTGTCCCATATGCCCCGCAGCTTCCTGCACCCTCCTCTTCGCATGTTCCATCTGCTCTCCAGCTGTTCCCCTCATTCTCCTCATATAATTTATCATCCACGATAGCGCCGACAACGCCGTTATCCCAAACGCACCGGACGTCAAAAATCCGGTAACAGCCAGCGCGATTGTCAGTGCCGCCGGGACCAAAACCGGACTGAACAGCAGAAAAACAGGAGTAGCAACGGCAAGTCCGATCACAGTTCCGACGAGCGTAAGTCCGGCGAGGCAAAGGAGAGCTCCACCGACAGGGAAGAGAGTGACGACAGCAAGGATTTGGGATTTAGAAGGACCTTTTTGAGGAAGAAGGCTTTTGATAGCCTCCGTTGGGTGAACTTGTTGCTGTTGCTGCTGCTGCTGCTGGGTACGGGACTGTTGCTCAGCCATGGATAGAACGGCAGATTTGAATTTTTTTTTAATTTAAAAAATAAATAAATTAATTGAAGAGAGAATGATGATTAAATTGAGGATGAGAAAAGAGGGAAGAAGGTGGGAGTGAATATAAAGGAAGAGGAGAATGGACGCGTGGGAGAAGAGTGACAGATGTTGATGAGAAAGTTTGCATGAAAAAAATGGATTTAGCAGAGAGAGATGAGTTTGAAAGTAAACAGTCTGTTATAGGCTTTTGGCTTTTTCTCTGCTTTGGTTTTTTTTTGAGGGATTTTTGACACTTAAAAAAAGAAAGCAATAGTTAACACTTTTAGTCCCTCCAGTATAAATAAATTGAAACTTTGGTCATCGTGATTTGTGATTGAACATAATTAATCTTCCAATTAATTGATAGGTGCATTTGTATCGGTCATAATTTTAACGAATTATAAATTGTTAAACTATTGAATTATTGATGTACTTTGTAAAGTTTTTATTGTTATTACGTAATTAAGGGTAATTTATCTATAAGAATAATTTAAATATTATATATTTTAGTTATATATAAAAGGGATTAAAGATAGGGCAAACTACATGAATCCCACTAGTTTAGGTCCTAATTACTAAGATTCTCTATAGTTATAAATATTACTTCCTCTACCACATTTCATGCTTAGGATACATGAATTTGAATCCATGAGATACATGTATTTGTCGAATTGACAATTAATTCTGAAAATTTAAATTAATCAAATTCCTTAACATAAGGCGGAAATCAAGGAGTGTATCTATGCTTAATTAATTTCATTTTATTAGTCTTTGAAATATAAAATTAATTAATATTATTAATAAAAGATAAAAAAAACAAGTATATTTTTGTCATTAATATCATTTTATTACTCTTCAAATAATAGATTTATTATTTGATATATCTATTATCAATATATATTGTATCCAACAAACTAAACACTTAGATACATGAATATCATACAAGTACATTTATATGTATCATAAAAGTATCTAGTATTATTTTTGTGCATTTGTTATGTATCTAATATTAATTTCATGTATCTATTTATATCATCTAATATTTAATTTCATGTATCTATTTATATGATCTAATATTAATTTCATGTATCTATTTATATGATCTGATTTCAATTTCATATATTTTTTATATGTATCTATTATTAATTTGATGTATCAAGTATCAATTTCATACATTATATTCAAAACATGTATCTAGGATACATTGTAAGCATATACATATAATGTGTATCTAAATACGAAATGTAACTGGGATACATGTATTTAAAAACAAATCACTACGGTAGATTAGAATCTGTCTTATCATTAATCTCATAAAAAAGTTTTAAAAAAAATCAAAATTCTTCATTCTTTTCTTAGCATCTGATATTTTTTCTCATAGAACATATAATCTTAACTTCGCTACACGAACTCTTAACTAAATACATGTCCAACAAATTGCACTTGATGTGCACTTAATTACTTATTTAATTTCTACGACCCAACTAAAAAACGACAACCAATAACTTCCCATTTTGTATAATTGATTGCGGGTTGTGCTAATCGGGTTAGCAAATTCTGTAAAACCTCCCACTCTTCCGAATGAGCAATTTTTTGGCAATGGCAGAAGTCTAAAACTCTGAACTTTAACCTCTCCGACTTCCAAAACAATGGTGATTACCCTATCAACTCTTTTATCTTCAACCCCATTTCTCCAGAAAATCATAAAATATCCTCAAACTTTTCTTTAAATGCTTGCCGTGTAATCAGATTCTTGATTTCCCCTTATCTGTAGCCAGAATTAAGCCTCTCAAACTTGAATTGAAACACAAATATTCTGGGCTTTTTGGTAGTAATTGTGGATTTCAATTAAGTAGGAAAAATGGGTTTGAAAAACAACATAATCAAAAAATATAAAATCTAATTTGAAAAACTTTTTAAAATTGAACTTTAGAATATTATGAAATTTAACGAAGATACAAAACCAAGATAAATGAGAATAATAAAACAATAGAAACAAACTGATATGTATAATGTTGATTTGAACATGCAAACATGTATTGAGAGGAGGAAGGAAGAAAGAGGGAGAAGATGAAGGAAGAAAAGGGGCTGGTGGACGTGGGATGGGGGGAAACATCAGATATAGTAGAAATTTTTAAACCCTAATTAAGGAATTTAAATTTAAGATAATTATTTGATAGAGTACCATATTCAAGGGATTTGTGTATCTATTTAAATAGTTTAATATATATGGTATAAATATTAAAAATGGTAGTATGTGTAATTATTTTAAACTAGAGGTAAATATTACTCCTATTTAGAAATGGGAGTTTGGGAGGACCAACATTGCACTAAAGAGTTGGACTAAAAGCTATAGAAATTGTACATTGAGGCCCACCAAAAAGATGAACTATTCTTTTTTTCTACTTTCCATTCTCCCCTTTTACTCTCTTTAGTTTATCTTTCATCTTAAATTTTTCATAGATCTTTAAAATATTTTGAATTATTAATTATTATGAATTATAATGTTTTGATTTTTACATAGTTTACAAATATATAAATTTCATTTTAAAAAAATTGAAGATATCATACGCAAATTTATGGTCAAACTTAAACTATTTGATTCTTGAGAAATAAAAAGTGTCACATAAAATGGGACAGACGAAGGATAACTCTCAATTAAATTTATTTCACTTTTTAATTTTCATTTTTAACATAATTTTTGAAGTTGGATTTCTAGGAATTCTATAGTAGACCCATTTAAATTTGACTTTTTTGTTTTAAATTAGAGAACTTGGCCGCACTTCGCACAATCATTAAAATTAAATATTTTTGATTAATTTTATATTTACTCTATTGTTTAATCGTAATATTATTATTTGTTTTAATAATATGAAGATTGTGAAAAAAATAAAGCTTCACGAATTTTACATCTATTAAATGAGGAAGAATATATTTTTTATCAAATACGTTAAAATATATTTGGTAATAACAAATTCTTCCATTGCATGAAGTTGATCCTTTAATATATAATATATATTCTGGTGTACCATTCTCCTTAAATGTCTAAGAAATATCTCATAATGTCAAATAACACTGTAATACTTCCTCTGTCCCTAATTACTTGTCCACTTTTAAATTGACACATTTATTAAGAAATCAATTAATGACATATTGAGTTTATCATTTTACCCCTATTAATTATGAAGTAGATGAAAAGTTCTGCAATTTTCAAAGTACTCATTTAATTGAGGGTATAATAGGTAAAAAAAATGTTATTTCTTGATTTGTCAAAATGGACAAGTAATTAGAGACAACTATAAAAGGAAAAGTGAACAAGTAATTAGGGACATAGGGAGTACTAAACAAATGTATCAGCAAATGAAATTTATATTAAAAATATAGTGAATGATGACATAATGATACCTTAATAGAATTTCCTATCCATTTAAAAAAAAAAAAAACTTCACCCTTTCAATTTCGTTATATCTTCTTATTTAGTAGAAGAATCATCATTTATTATATTCTACTCCACCTTAATTGTACCATCAGAGTTTTAAGAATAAATATTAAATTTTAAATCGAAATAAAAAATCATTGAAAAATGATAGAAAAAATAATAATAGTATATGAAAATTAAAATAAGGTGCAAGAAAAGCCTTTTCACGATAATTTTTTAAAATATATTGATAACAATTAAAATGAAGCTGTTATTTTATCTTTAAAATTAAGTTTGATTGAATTGAATTAGTACAATGAGAAAAAATATTAAACTAATAACTTTTTAATGTTATTAAATGCATTTTCTTTTTAATTGAGTAGTAGATTAAAAGTTCCGAATTAGGATATTAAAATAATATCTTACTCTCTCCTTAATTGTTATGGTATTGCAAACATTTATTTTCCTTAAATGGTGATTCATTTTTCATTTACAATTATATCCAATTAATTTCTAATGTATTGAATGTGGTTATGAGATATTGAAATAATATCTTTATCTTTCCTTAATCATAATAAAATTATAATTTAACATTTATTTTTCTGAAATGATAATTTTGTTTTAATTCCTAGAACATATTGTTTACTATATTGAATGTAAATATAATAAAACATATTGTATTTAGTATGACAAAAGAACTCAAAAATTGGAGAAATTAGATAAATAGTAATCTTAGCTTCTAAAAAATGTCACATCATCATTTACATATCCAACTTTATATATATAAAAGAGTTAAAAAAGAAAAATATGTGATTTAAGAAAATTATATAAATAACATTAGTGATCAGATGATGATAAAAGTTAAATAAATCATTTTTTCTATTATTTAAATTTTTAACATAAAATTTCCAGTCTTTTAAAATTAAAAAAAAATAAAAAATTGAGGCAATAATTATTTTAAAGAAAAATATAACCAAAATTGTCAGAAAAAAATGATAAAAATAAATAAGTATCTATTACTAAGAATGGTATCACTACATTTTCTATTTTAACTTTATTGTTACATATGGATAGAAACTTTTAGAAGAAGAAATGATTCAAAAATTTAAAAATAATGATTCCTTAAATGGTGATTCCTTTTCCATTTACAGCTTTTCAATTAATTTTTAATGTATTATATATGGTTATGGATATTGGAATAATAATTCTATCTTTCCTTAATCATAATAAATTATATTTTAACCTTTGTTTTTGTGAAATGATAATTTTCTTTTCATTCGTACAACATATTCATTAATATATTAAATGTAATTATAATAAAACATGTTGTATTTAGTATGACAAAAGAATTCAAAATTTTAAAAAATTAAATAAAGAATAATCCTAACTTCTAAGAAATGTCACAAATATATATATATATATCTAAGAAAATGATATAAATTACATTAATGATGAAATGAAGATTAAGAAAAGAAGTAAAACAAATTAATAATAATATTGATGATGATAGGAGTTAAATAAATCATTTTTATTTTTTGTAAATTTTCAATAT